TGTCTTAACATCCCATAAACGGATAGACTTATCGACACTACCAGATGCTAAAGTAGTTCCATCAGGTGAGAAGCAGACTGAGTTGACATTATTACGATGACCATCCAATTTGGCTTATTATTATCCTGTCTTAACATCCCATAAACGGATAGACTTATCGTCGCTACCAGAGACTAAATTAGTTCCATCAGGAGAGAAGCATACTTATCGGATATTACTAGTATGATCATTTAATTCTGCTTTTTATTATCCTGTTTGAACATCCCATAAACGAATAGATTTATCATCACTACCAGATGCTATGGTAGTTCCATCAGGTGAAAAGCATACCGAGAATACAGCAGAACCATGGCAATTCAATTTTACTTTTTATTATCCGGTCTTAACATCCCATAATTTGATAGAGTTATCCCAACTGCCAGATGCTAAAGTATTTCCATTAGGCGAAAAGCATACAGACCGAACATTACTAGTATGCCCATCCATCTTGAATTTTTATTATCTTATCTTAGCATCCCATAAACGGATCGACTTATCGACACTACCAGATGCTAATGTAGCTTCACCATAAAAGCATACTGAGTAGACAGAATCACTATGACCATCCAATTAGTCTTTTTATTATCCTGTCTTTACATCCCATAAACGAATCGATTTATCATCACTGCCAGATGCTAAGGTAGTTCCATCAGGAGAGAAACAAACTGAGTTGATATAATGACTATGACCATCCAATTTGGCTTTTTATTATCTTGTCTTAATATCCCATAAAAAGATAGAGTTATCCCAACCACCAGATGCTAAGGTAGCTCTATCAGGCGAGAAGCACACTGAAGAAACAGGAGCACTATGACCTTCTAATTTGGCTTTTAATTATCCTGTCTTAACATCCCATAATTTGATAGAGTTATCGTAGCTACCAGATGCTAAAGTAGTTCCATCAAGTGAAAAGCATACTGAGTAAACAGTATTACTATGACCATTCATTTTGGCTTTTTTTTTCTAGTCCTGACATCCCATAAATTTATAGACTTATCTTCACTACCCGATGCTAATATAGTTCCATCAGGAGAGAAGCATACTGAGTAGACAGGCCCACTATGCCCATTTAATTTGGCTTTTTATTATCCTGTCTTAACATCCAATAAATGTATGGATTTATCCCTACTACCAGATGCTAAGGTAGCTCCATTAGGTGAGAAGCATACTGATAGAACAGAATCCCAATAGCCTTCCCATTTAACTCTTTATTATCCTGTTTTAATATCCCATAATCGTATTGAATAATCTCCACTTTTTTAAAAAACTCCGCCACCTGATGCTAGTGTAACACCATCAGGAGAGATACAAACTGAAAAAACGTAATCACTGTGACCTTCCAATTTATCTAATTCATTTATTTTCAAATCTTTCCATTTACAATTTAGTAGTAATGCTCCATTCAAATTTATTCCACTAATATCTACATTATTAAATTCGGATTCACTCAAATTACATCTGAAAAAATTACCTCCAGTTAAAGAAGTATTTTTAATCTTGATCTTTTCAAAACATTAGTTCTTTAAATCAACCTTGATTTGAACTAATAAATATAATGAATTTGATCCACATTAAATCAATTTTTTATCTATAGCGGTGAGTTGAACAAGAAATTTCAAAACATTTATAATCTTGTCTTCTTTTTTTATTTTA